CAATCCGCAAATGGACCGCATCCCTCTCGGCAGTTACTGCACGGTATTTCAACAATCTGACCACGGATATAAGTTGCTGCCGCTACTTTCTGCGTGAGAGTTGTAATGTTAAACTTGTATCCGTCTTTCCCACGTCTGAGGTTTGGGTCTCGAATGAGTTTAGGAAGCTGCTTGAGTAGATTTTGCAATCTCGCTCCATCGGTTCGAGAAGCCTTCGCTTCAATATAAGCTTTGACTTGTTCAGCATCGGTAGGATCATGTAGCTCAATTTTCCTTCGTGGCATTGTGTAAACTACGGCTGCGCATTCGGAGCGCACTGGACATGAAAAATGACGTAAAACGTCTCCGGATATAAAGAAATTAGACGCAGGAAGGTGGTATTCTTAGGGATCAAAAGAAGGCTTTTATCTGTTGTGAGTTGAATCTGGTATGGCGGCAGGCACGAGTGGACAATAATTTGTAGAGCGCGCGTGTATGTAAATAGAGGCGATGGTTTTTGGGCCTGGATGAGGTTAATGCGCGAGTAATTTTCGTGGCGTGCTAGTGAGTGAATGGATGTGCATAGTTTGTGTTTCCAAATAATTCCCAGATATAAGCTTTCGAATGTAGTTTTACAGTCTCTATATACATTTATTTATCTTATTCTTTATTCGTCACCATCTAAAGAAGAAGAGCCGTATAACAATATTAATATTTAGAGGTATAGGCATAAAGGGGGCGATCTCTGCAAGCACAGCCGGCGCTAGGCCTGTAGCTACGTAGTAGCAAGGAGGGTGGGTGAAGCAGAGAAAGCCGAGTATAACCCAGCATAATTACCTCCTTCGTACCTAGATATGCGGAGCTCTATATAGGTATATATATAGGGATAGTGGGCGGGAAAGCAAAAGCCGTATAACTTAAAAATGGAGAAGTTTAATGTTGTTGGTAGAAGTAGCAGGTGCTCGCAATCTACCGATAAATATTTTTATTTATCCACTCCACGTTTATAATAAGCCGGGCTAAGTCACTAGCAGAGCATAAGACGTAAGTTATCTTTAAATACGTTTAACTTCCAGTTAACACTTTCCAGTCTTAATCTTACTACGCTTTGCGAAAGTATTGCGAAAATCAAAATTAAGCGAGCCTCCCGCCCGCAGACACTTATTTTATAAAAATGCTTTTATAACCACTAAAAATAAGTCTTATTTTATAAAATTAGTAAATAGAACTATAAAATAGATACCGCTTTACAATTTTAAATATATGGCAGCTTAGTAAATAATGTAGTTGTGGGGTTTTAGGTGGTAAAGCGTTAGGCTAAGTATTACCTCCTCTATCAAAACAATACACCCCCTATAGCCCCACTAATATAGCTTTATATTTTATATATAAAGGTATATTTTATAGCCCTATTTTAGGGCTACAAAACGAGCCCTTATTTATATATTTTATGGCTATTTTAGTAGAGTTATAAGGGGTGCTTATTTTTGGGGGTAGAGGGGTTAGGTTAGTCAGCGCAGAGCCTCAATTTAAGTTTTATAGCCATTATTCAGTACCCTATATAACTCTACCAATACCGCTCCAATTTATATAAATAAGGGCTTATTTTATAGCCCTACTATAGGGCTATAAAATATGCCCCTATATATAAAATATAGAGCCGTATTAGTAGGGTAATAGGGGGTATATTGTTTTGATAGAGGGGTAATACTTAGCCTGATGTTTTACCACCTAGAATTTTACAACCACATCACTTACTAAGCTGCCATATATTTAAAATTGTAAAACAGTATCTATTTTATAGTTTTACTTACTAATCTTATAAAATAAGACTTATTTTTGGTGGTTGTAAAAGCATTTTTGTAAAACGAGCAGTCTGCGGGCGGGAGGCTCGCTTAATTTGATTTTCGCAATACTTTCGCAAAGCGTACAGTGCATTGCACGCCCCCCCCTCCTTTAGCGAGCGCTACGAAATTTCAAATTCGGTACGCGCATCCAATCTCGCCTGACTGCCACCAACTGTACATAGTAATTGTAGCGAACGGCTGTGGCTACACGCAAGGACCTTTTTGGTTGCCATAGAGAATCGCCTTGGTTGGCCAGGAGAACCAAAATTGAAGACGTACGCTTCTTCCTCCCCCCCTTAACTACCCCTCCCGTTGTGGCCGCCAAAACGCGAGTACAACGCTGTCTCTGCAGAGAGGTCGATGGAATTTGCAATGTCGTACGGGTGAAAGCCTCACGATATTTGATAAAGATCACGACACTGCGGAGGAAGGCCGATCTCAAGTCCGCCAGAAGCAAAGTTCTTGCAGCCAAGCATACGGCTTGTTGGTGGCGATTTGGCGAGCCCGCGTACCGAAGCGAAATATACTTTTTTTTTCAAGGGGGGAAGCTGGTCGTGCAATGTACTGTACAGTGATGTGCACGACCAGCTTCACCCCCCCCCTTTAGCGAGTTGCAGATTCGGTACGCGCATCCAATTTCGCCTGGTTGCCACCAGCTGTACATAGTAATTGTAGCGAAGTCGTATGCTTGGCTACAAGAACATTACTTCTGGCGGCCTTCCTCCGCAGTGTCGTGATCTTTGTCAAATATCGTGAGGCTTCCACCGTACGATATTGCCAAATTTCGTCAACCTCTCTGCAGAGGCAGCGTTGTATTCGCGTTTTGGCGGGCATAATGGAGGCATAGTTAAAGGGGAGAAAAGGAAGCGTCGTCTTCAATTTGATTCTCCTGGCCAACCAAGGCGATTCTCCAGGGCAACCAAAAAGGACCTTGGGTGCAGCCACAGCCGTTCGCTACAATTACTATGTACAGTGATGTGCACGACCAGCTTCACCCCCCCTTGAAAAAAAAAACATTTCGCTACGGTACGCGGGTCCGCTAAATCGCCACCAACTGTACATAGTAATTGTAGCGAAGCTGTATGCTTGGCTGCAAGAACCTGCGGACAGCGATCGGCCTTTCTCTGCAGTGTCGTGATCTTTGTCAAATATCGTGAGATTTCCACCCGTACGATATTGCCAAATTCCATTGACCTCTCTGCAGAGACAGCGTTGTACTCGCGTTTTGGCGGCCACAACGGGAGGGGGGAGAGGAAGAAGCGTACGTCTTCAATTTGGTTCTCCTGGCCAACCAAGGCGATTCTCCAGGGCAACCAAAAAGGTCCCTGCGTGCAGCCACAGCCGTTCGCTACAATTACTATGTACAGCTGGTGGCAACCAGGCGAAATTGGATGCGCGTGCCGAATTTAAAATTTTGGAGCCCTCGCCAAAGGGGAGGGGTGAAGCTGGTCATGCACATCACTGTACAGCTGGTGGCAACCAGGCGAAATTGGATGCGCGTACCGAATCTGCAACTCGCTAAAGGGGGGGGGTGAAGCTGGTCGTGCACATCACTGTAGTAAGGTTGCGTTCACAATCCCCGCGCTCGGCTAAAGTTTTTTTTTTTTTCTTAGCTTTAGGAAATTTTTAGGTTTCTTACTACACTATCCTGGCGTATCCGGTTAAAAGCGCATATTAATTACGCTAATTAAAATGCGTAGATTTGTATCCAAAATAAGATAAAAATACATTAAAATATCCGTGCTTATTACCCTAAAGGGTATTATTCTGCCTAATACCAGTACACGGCTCGTTCCGGAATATTTCTACCTTTTTCTAAAATAGATTTAATATTATATTAAACTTTAAGACTATATAAAGCTTTTTAATAAAGCTTTTTAGTAGATTTTAGCTATTTCTATAAGTTAATTTAGGAAGTATAGTGTAGTTAATAGCTATAAATAAGGACAAAAATATAAAATCTTAGTTTTCTAACTGTGACGGTTGTGACGTTACGTGACCTGCGGGCGCTTATTTAGGTATATATATATTAAACCACAAGCTACAAAGTCGATCTTAATCTTTTTTATACACTATCCTTTTAGCTAGTAGTTTAGCCGTCACACTAATAAGATTTTATAAGGCTCTAGAGATTAAATTTTACTACCCCCCCTAAACTACTATAATACTATTAGATTCTATCTAAACTAGGTTATACTATAATTTATAAGTATATTTAAAGGCCTTTCTATATTATAGATATAGTCTATAAGTAGTAGAAACTAATTAGGTAGGAGGTAGTTAATTATATTCCCTAATACTAAAATTTATAAATTATATAAAGCTTTAAACTTACTAAGATCTATTAAAAGCTAGGCTCTTTAATATTTTACTAGCTATAGACTAATTATCTAATTAGGGTTAGTATAGTTATAATTTAGATTTCTCCTACCTATATAGCCTTACCTACTATTATCCTCCTCTTCTTTAACTTCTATAGCCTTTATAGTAGGCTTAATTAATTACCTTCCTTATTTACTATTCCTAATTAATTACCTCCCTTACTTACTATTACTAATTAATTACTTTTCTTACTTACTATTACTAATTAAGGTTATATAGAGCTTTAAAGCTTTATCCCCTATAAGGGGATATACTTTATAAAGCTCTTTCTAGTTTCTTCTAGATACTTTATAAAGGTAGGCTTTACTATAACTAAGAAGGTAATAATAGCTTAGGTGGTATTATTAAACTTAGATATAGTAGAAGTTAAGGTAGTTATATTAGATATAAAGGCTATTACTATTACTAGTATTAGATTTAACCTAGTAATTAAGTTAGATATATATTTATAACTTATAGAAAAGGCCTATATATTATTAAGGATCTAATTAAGTTATAGGTAAAGTAGTAGCTAAGGAGCAATAAATAAGAATTTATTGCAAAGTTTAACCTAATTTAGGTTAATAATAGTATTAAGGGGAGAGTTATATACGCAGTACGCGCCAAGCATCGCTTACGCCACACCAAGCCACTAAAGGCTAGCGCACGCCACTACAACAGGGGGGACCAGGAACTTTTGACCGCTACCTCCGTATATATATTTTGTTATTTTAATTGTTAAATCATTAGTTTTCTAGATACCTGACCGTATGTTACGTTGTTCATTGCAATACTATAGCTTATTATCAAATAGGGTTGGCGCAATGGTAGCGCGTGCCCCTCCTAATATTAATATTTAAGGGCAAGGTTACATGTTCAAGTCCTGTACCGGCCGTGGCCTTCTTTTTTTATTTGCTAGGGGAACCACATAGGAGATAGGAGGAAGTTAGGTTTATAAAATTGCATACTGCTTAATTCTTTTTACGCTTATATCTAATATTCTATTGCGGATAGTACTCTTATTCCATACGCTGTTAAGAAGGTCATTTAGTAAGCGAACTAACTAGATAATCTAGATGTATCGGAGGTCCGGGTTAAGCTTGGCATAACCTCGGGTTACGCATGAGCCCCCCAGGTCCTCGACATATCGTCCAAATATCACCTCCTCCCCCTGGGGGGTGGCCCCTACTTTTCGGACGCGTTTTTGAGGCCTAGGTTAGTACTGGGTTAGTATGGAGGTCCTCGTCGCGCGCCTTCGACCTCATCGTCGCCTCGACAATCCCATTTTCCAACCCTTCCTTTTCTCGTGCCCGCGCTGGCTCCTAGCTTGCGCGGGGCTTCTGATTTTATATAGAATGGCCTACTGTAATTCTAATTCTATAATACAGAGCCCTCTTCTCCTCCTTCTCCTTCGATATTTACGCGTTCGGTAGCTCTATTTACCCGTGCCGCGCTCACGCGTCTCCCCCCTTACCTCTTGCGGATATGGAGTCTTTTAAGAATCTTCTTACCCTACGGTCCACTTTACGGTCGACGGAAGCCCCCCCAGCCTCCTCCCCCTATAGCCTCGAGAGCGAATTCAAGGCCCAGACAGCACGGCTACAGGATATTCATAAGGCCCAGCGCTCAAAGAATACTACAAGGGCGTACGAGCCGAAGCAGAAAGAGTGGGAAGACTGGTGCGCGAGACTGGAAGGTAATACGGACGGCGCCTAGGTAACAGAAGATAAGCTTTGCCTATTTTTAGAGCAGCAAGTCATTAACCGAAAATCGCGGGCCGCTGGCTATCAAAAACGGAAGTTAAAACGGAAAGAGATGTGGAAATATGGTGAGTGGGCGAAGAAGAGGCAGAAGACGGCCGAGCGGGCAGGAGGGCAGCTAGGGGGGAAGGCAGCCGTAGGGGCAGCCGCAGCCGCAGGGGCAGCCGCAGCCGTAGAGGAGGAAGCTATAAAGGAGGAGGAGATATGGGACGAGGAGGCCCTAGACGCCCTATTCAACGAGACAGTCCGATACTCAGTTGTGAATAGCTACGCCTCCGCTATTACTAAGCTTTACGCGTGGTAGTCGGAAGGCAAGGCCTCGCAGCCGCTGCGGGGGGCGAAGCTCTCGGCAGTACTAGAGAGCGTCCGCCGTGATAAGGACCGTATTCAATGCGTTAACTTTATTAATCGAGGCCTATTTATAATTACTGGCGGCTACGACGTTAAAGGGCTTAAAAAGGCGATTACTTAGTACTGGGAGACGGGCTCTAAGATACCGGGTTTAGTTAAGTCTTACCTTTAAACTATAACTAAGCATTTATTAGGTTTGTATATTACTACTACTATATACCCTATTTAGTCCGTACAGCTGCCGTTTTCTAACCCGTCCCTTAGGCTATACTACCGTTACCCAGGGTAAAAGTAAATAAGACGTTTAGCTTGCTAACATTGTCCTTATTAAACTAGAGAATAAAGGGCCTAAACTAGATATATTAGCGCCGTATATAATTATATTAATAATATAAGGGAAGTAGAATTAGCACGGTAAGGTTAAGTATATAGGCTATATACGGAACGCTAACCCTATCCTCTACCCTCTCTCTATAATAGCCTTCTACTTCTTTAACCGCTAGGGTAAAGATAGCGCTAAGAGCTTCCCATCCTTTTAGTAACTAGAGGACTACTATAACCTATACGTCTTCCCTAGCAGTATTAAAGTACTATAATAGCCGCTAAGCTATTATACGTAGTTTAAATAGAATAAAAAGATGTTTTAAGGGGTAGGAATTTACTTAAAAGAGAAGACCTATAGCGCCTATAAGTAGAGCGTCTGGTATGCCGAGCTTAGTAGTATTAAGGAGACCTAAATTAGACGGGCTAGATGCTAGAATATAGACGCGATAACGGGAGCCTACCTTAGCTATCTATTACGGCACTAGCAGAACTGGCAGAACTGGCAGAACTTGGCAGAACTTCGCACCGGCAAGTTGCCACAGATTGCCGCATATTGCGATCACGTGACGCGAAGATCTTATAAAACACCAAACGGCGCTACTCTTCTTCTCCTTTCCTTTCCCTAGCTTTAGATTCTTGTTTATAGACAATCCAATTATATAGGCTTACGCGACCCTTTTACCATGCTTATGTCTTAATTAACTAAGTCACTAACATTATCTAAAGCTTACTCTACTCTTTCTTCCTAAGAAGGAACTTAAATATATCTACAAGAACACAGAATAGAACCCTAAGGACATTACTAAAACTACAAGGATAGGACCTAAAAGAAAAGAATAGAACCCTAAGAAAAGGACCTATAAAACATATATAGACTAGAACCCCTAAAGAAATTACCCGGAATTACTTAATACTCCTACCACTATGCCACAAACTATAGTAGTAGGTAAAGCAGCTATAGGACCCTTAAATACTTCAGACAAAGAAATAATTAACGTTTTAACCCCCTAGGCGGAGCTTACGGCTACTAATACCGAAATTAAATAACTACGAGAGCTACTTAAAGCTAGAGATACCCCTATATCTAATAATAAGTCATTATTAGATAACTAAAGACTTGCTATAGTCCTTTAGGCCCTATCTTAGCGCCTTAGTAAATCTATTAAGGCCTATACAGCACTAAAGCGGTCGGTAAAGGTTGCGGATCCCCCGCTACTTATAAACGGAACTAACTCTATATTTAATAATTAGAAGCTTTAATTATAGGATAAGCTTAAAGTTAATATAAACCACTTCCCTAACGCCTAAGCTAGAATGGCCTATGTTTTCGGCCGCACTAGCAGAGATACTTAGACGCATTTACGCCCGTAATACACTAAAGACTTAATAAACCCCTTTATCTCTAAAGAAGAAATAATTAAAAACTTATTTTTTATTTATAAAGACCCTTTTAAAGTATAGAACGCCCGCCTTAGCTATAAAAGCCTAAATATAAAAATAACGGAGACCTTTTTAGCCTTCTAAACCCGCTTTCTATACCTAGTAGAATAGGCCTAGATCCCCTAAGAAGACCTACTACTAGACCTCTTTAATAAGCTTACCCTAGACCTATAGCGGGCCGTATTACTAGCTTATACTATAGTATAGACGTTAAAGGAACTTCGTTAGGAAAACGGGAGGGTAGTAGGGGTTAGCTAGGGGCTAGCCCGGGGCTGGCCCGGGGTCATTTTAGCTAAATCCGCTAATCTACTTATATACACTTATTTACACTAGCCCAGGGCTAGCCTAGGGCCATATTAGCAACATTAGTACATTTTATACGTTTTATACGTTTTATATATTTTATACATTTTATATATTTTATATAATATTTCCTATAGCTGCAATATGTATAATTATAATAAAATTCAAAATTTAAAATTCAAAAATTCAAAATTTAAAATTAATAGTAGCTATAAGGGATATCTCTCGCAGAGTCTCTAAATCGTTAATTGGCGGCGTTCCCGATAATCCGCCGGCTATGTACTGATTTCCTAACTAGGCCTAGTGCCTATCCTACCTATCCTACCTGTTCTACCTATCCTACCTATCCTACCTATTCTACCTATCCTACCTGTCCTACCTGTCCTACCTATCTTACCTATCCTACCTATCCTATCTGTCCTACCTATCCTACCTGTCCTACCTATTCTACCTATCCTACCGTCTAACCGTCCTACTTATTCGTGCCTACCTATCTGTGCCTACCGGTCGTGCCTATTTGTCTATGCCTACCTGTCTGTATCTGTAATTTGGGGGAGAGATCGGCCCGATCGAAGGCTCTGCTTGATTTGATTGCGATTAATTATATTGATTTGAATCGTTCTCTCTGGGCGTTCGCTGGCTGTACGTTTGAACGGTAGTCGTCTGGGGTGCCTCCCTAAGAGGCCTTGATTCGATTTGATTTGGTAATGGGATAATATCGAGGCTCTAGTTTGATTCGATCGATCGATTGAATTGATTGTGGTGTTTGCTGGCTGGTCGTTTAAACGATTATCGTCTGGCTCTGGCGGCGGTCGTCTGGTTCTGGCGACGGTCGTCTAGTTCTGGCGACGGTCGTCTGGTTCTGGCGACGTCTAGTTCTGGTCACAGTCCTCTAGCTACCATTCTGGTACCTCCCTAAGTAAGGAGGATGTAAGGAAGGAAGGGTAAAGGTGGCATTTAGGTGTATAAGGGGTATGTAAAGGCACGTGTAGAGGCTGTTGGGAATATAGCGGGGACCCGATGGTACTTCGGACGATTTAGATAAGGAAAATCAAAGTCCTGCTAGGAGCCTGCTAGGAAGCCTACTAGGAGCCTACTAGGAAGCCTGCTAGGAGCCTGCCCGGAGGCCTTTAGGATTTTAATACCCTAATAGCAATAAATACAATAATAGTAANAATATTTATTTTATAGCTATAAGCTAGTATAGTGCTAGNGTATAGCTNTANGGCTTAGCTAATATGGCTAAAAGCTAGCCCTAGGCTAGGGGGGGTTAGCTAATATAGCTAAAAGCTAGCCCTAGGCTAGGGGGGGTCAGCTAATATGGCTAAAAGCTGGCCCCGGGCNAGGGGGGGTTNGCTAATATGGCGGAAAGCTAGCCCCGGGCCCTAAAAACACTTTTAGCGAAACCAAATTTCCTGCGCCACTTCCCGTTTTCCTAACGTTATAGACTATTGCCTAGCTATTAACCAAGGCCTTTATTAAATTAAGGCACGCGCTAACTGGCTAAAAACTAGAAACCTTATAAACTAGGCCGTAAGTACTATAAGTACGGCCCATAGTGCCCTAGTATAATTAGTAACTCCTATAGTTAACCTAATAGCTAGCTATATAGCTACCCCTATTACGGGCCTAGTGTATACCTAGCCTATATACAGCGACCCCTATATATAGGCCCTTAGTAATTAAGGAGCTTACTTCTTATATAGTTAAATAGGCT